AAGAGTCCTCTCCTGCTGATGTTCAGGTGTATATCAGTATGTAGTGTCTCTACTTTAAAGAGTCCTCTCCTGCTGATGTTCAGGTGTATATCAGTATGTAGTGTCTCTACTTTAAAGAGTCCTCTCCTGCTGATGTTCAGGTGTATATCAGTATGTAGTGTCTCTACTTTAAAGAGTCCTCTCCTGCTGATGTTCAGGTGTATATCAGTATGTAGTGTCTCTACTTTAAAGAGTCCTCTCCTGCTGATGTTCAGGTGTATATCAGTATGTAGTGTCTCTACTTTAAAGAGTCCTCTCCTGCTGATATTCAGGTGTATATCAGTATGTAGTGTCTCTACTTTAAAGAGTCCTCTCCTGCTGATGTTCAGGTGTATATCAGTATGTAGTGTATCTACTTTAAAGAGTCCTCTCCTGCTGATGTTCAGGTGTATATCAGTATGTAGTGTCTCTACTTTAAAGAGTTCTCTCCTGCTGATGTTCAGGTGTATATCAGTATGTAGTGTCTCTACTTTAAAGAGTCCTCTCCTGCTGATGTTCAGATGTATATCAGTATGTAGTGTATCTACTTTAAAGAGTCCTCTCCTGCTGATGTTCAGGTGTATATCAGTATGTAGTGTCTCTACTTTAAAGAGTCCTCTCCTGCTGATGTTCAGGTGTATATCAGTATGTAGTGTCTCTACTGTGACATGTCTCCATACTTTAATGTTCAAAAAGCTCTTTATTGTTCTCATGCTGCAGCACCTCTTTTCACCCTCTGTCTGAAACCAGAGCCCAGTCTGCTCTGATTGGTTAGCTGGCCGGCTCTGTTGAGATTGGTCAACCAGCTTAGAGAGATGGATCACGTACAATGTGTTGGAGCGCTAGCCAATACAAGTGCAAGTGTGGCATAGTGATGTAAATATGTATAAAATCTGTGTATAAAATAAATGTTTAAACTATGTATAAAATGTGAGTACTTCTTCCACCACTGAATATCATTAAGCACAACTCTACTGTTATTATTATAATTATTAACAAATGGAAAATGTATTACAGAGATATTATGTATGGCACTTTGCATCCACACCAAGAGATCCAAGCTGCTCTGTTTAATTTCAAAGACTAAAAGTAACAATGCGTTTTCCTCGTAGAAATGAATTCCAGTAAGTCACTACGGTATTTTCTGTCATCATAATGCCTGACTTCATTTGTCATTACATTCATTACATGCAAGGAGTGGCTCTCTAATACAATACTTCATTAACTCTACACAATATCGATCATGGCGCAGCGACACAAGCTTAACAGGAAGCTGAGGATAAATCAATCATTTAGTGAAGTTATATTTAATCTCATTACGCTTGACAAACACAAAAGGGATCGGATATCAGAGCAGGTGTACAAAGTTAGAAGAAAGTACATCAATTAACTTCCTCACAAATATTACAACACCCAGACTTCTTATCTCTTTCAGCAACAGCAGCTTCCTGTTCCTGTCTGTCTGTCTGCATTGCCATATAAAACTATAAAAGGTGTTCTTATCTGTGTGCATATATAGCTTCCCCATGCTGTTTGCATGTCATGACTGTAAAGGTGATCTGATCAAGGGTCACTACATATAGAAGATGTTTGCTCCTCCAATGGTGACTAGATGAAAGCATACGTGTCAAATCCAAGGCTTTGCAAAGATGTTATTTGGTTATCACATACTTCTACGCCAATTTAGAGTAGTACCACCATCAACTACATGTCCCACAATGCACCACGACGTTGTTACCAGTGCACTTGCAATTGCAATATTAATCAAAAAATCGCTATTAGTTACTTTTTACTTCTCGTGACGCCATATTTGACATCACTGGCCAAAAGGTTAAAAACAATGACAGCACTTCCTTGATTTAGAACATAACCAGTATTCATGAAGGCAAAACTAGAACATTAAACGTGAAGGTTAGACATATGCAAACTGATCCTTTAAGCCACAGCTTTGTTTAAATGCAGACGCAGAATCAGATACAAAACGCTGCAGGAACATTTGTTGCCTCTCTGCTCAGGTCTTTTAGCAGCCAGTCATCACATGTCTCATATACATGCATACACAATGTACTGAGCAGACACCAGGCACATGTACAGCTCCCCAGGGTGAGTGGGGGGGGGGGGGCAGACTGTTGATGACATTCAGGACAAAGCAGCTCTGAGCCCCCGAGACAAACAAGCTCACACAAAGGGTACGTCCATCAAAGGGACGGTTTCCTAGGCAGCAAGGAGCAGGAAAATACCTTATATAACGGGAGCTGCAGTTGCTAAGAACATAATTGGGAGAGGAGGAATGTGAGACGAATCTAGGGTCAGTTGGCCGAGCCCTCAGAGGGGCCTGACCTTACAGTCTGTGAAACGCACATGGCTCACTGGAAGAGCAACTTTAAGACATAGCACTGTCTAGTTTAGATTAAAAGAAGAGGAAATACTTGATTTAAAACATTTTTATTTTCACTTTGTGTTTACCGTTAGATAACACTTCCACAAACTTGCATTAAGGGTTGCACAACTAATTAAAATTGACATTTTTGAAATGATACAAACTTCACACGTTTTTTAAATTGATTATAGCCTTTGCAGACCCATGTTCATCATTACATGACATTGTATATAGAAAGGGAAACCCCAAACAAGTATAAAAGGGCGCTTTAATGTATTTTTCAATAATAATGAGAGTACTGACACAAAAGTGACCAATATTGTGGTTCATATCGCTATTTCAAAATGTGTTTTTTGGGGAAATTCTGTAGCCCTAACTTGCATTAAATGGAGATGTGTGAGAGCGAGCGGGCTGCCGGAGCAGTTGGGGTGTGGTGCCTTGCTAAAGGAAACCTGAGCGGGGTCTGGAGAAAAGCTGGCACCTCTCCAGCTACCTGTCCGCATTCTGTATGATCGGGACTTGAACCGGTGACCTTTGGGTTCCCAACTCAAGTCCCTGCAGACTGCGATGCTTTTAAATATGGATGATGGTGCCTTCAATTTCAGTAACACGGGTCAAATGTTCTGCAGTTGGCTGCACTTCCTGCCTGATGGGAAAACTGCATTTATCGATTAGCCGAGGGCCAAACTGAGTGAATACAAAAACTAAAGTGTGTCTTTGTTGAAGCTTGTCTGTGAACTCATCAGTCAAGCCTCAGTTGTCATTTCTGTCTCACTCAATCTGCACATTCCTGTCTGAACACAACGATTAAGAGGGATTACATAACTGTGGCAGGGAGGGGGGGGGGTCTGCCCTCTACAACAGAGAATCAACACCAGCAGACATGCAGGAAGAGATTCATTTTTCTCTTTTTATACTATTTGTTTGCAATTTAACATTAATTGAAATAGCTGAAGTTGAAAACTGAGAATGAAGACAAACCGTCACCATTACATTTGAAGTTGAAAATGTAAAAAAAAAAGGTCAAAACTTTGAGAATAAAGGAAGAAAATAAAGTTGAAATGTGGAGTATATAGTCACACTTTCACGTTATGCATTACGCTAGCAGTTTGACTTATTCTCAACATCCTTGTGTTGAATTGAAGCTCAGTTGGTCTCACTGACTGACACAAACATCGCTCCATCAGTGCGGTCTGGTGAGGACTTGGCATGGAGTTAAATTCCACCCTAGTGGGAATCTGGTGACTCTGCACAGGCCTGCGTTTCACCAAAACCCCTGTCCTTTCAGTGTGTGCCAAGCGATGACACTTGTTTTGATACGAGAGAGATCGGATGCTGTTTGTTCCCTGCACACAGAGAGCAGAGCTGGGTCTTTACAGAGATGTTGTCCCACCAGCTCATTCATTCTGCAGATTAAAAAAGATGCTAGGGAACCATTTTCTACCTCTAAATCTACAAAAAGCAGACAAGGAAGTAAACAAGTTGAAGTGATACAGATCTACGTGGTTCCCTTTGTTACATTCTACTAAAAGTAGAACATCTTGACATGGAAGTTATGATACTTAAAAGATAATAATCTACATGGTTTGTTTTATGACTCACAATAAAACTGTCAAGCTTGATGAGCAAGTTTTGTTGTCTTCCTCTACTTCCCACAAACATCACATCACAAATGAACATTCTGCCCCCAAACACACTCAATGAACGTACCATTGAAGCTATGTCACATAACATGTGACACATATTACTGTAGCTTCCTTAAGACTTCATTTGCAAATGATGTTTATCTGCAATGGTGCGGAATAAATGTTATAGAAGTAAATAACAAAGAAGCACATTCAAATTTGACTAACAACAGGTCCTATATTGGGAGTGGGAAAGCAAGTACTCTGATCTTAAGTAAAAGTTATGTAGAAATACTTTGTTACTAGTAAAAGTCTAGCAAAACTCTTTAAAGTAAAAAAGTTTTAGGATCAAAATATATATTTAAAGTATAACAAATAACATCACTCACTATACAGATTGGTCATTTTTGGAGTAATATAGTGATCCATTTATTTATTATATACATTTTGCACTGGTGGAGCTAACGAATTACTTATACTGCTGGGTATCTAAATTCATAATAGTACATCATAAGATCCACTTGCGAAGTAACTAGAAATGTATTCATTCCTCGATGTAACACAAATAATTTCCCTAATTGGGATGAATACAGTATCTATCTATCTATCTACATGTAGTGAGTAAAAAGTATGCTTTCAAATTGTAGTGAATAAGTAGTACGAAACAGTATGTAATGGACATGCTTATCTAAATAACAAATACCGCTAAATTGTACTTAAGTACAGTTATATAGTAAATGCTACTTTGCAAAAGTATATGCAATTACTAAAAATCTTTAAAATCACTTTTAAAACACCAGTTCAACAATTGTGTCTTGTGCATCTTTCGCAAAAATCATAAACAGCCCCCTCAGCAGGGTGAGCATCTCTCAGTCTGATCTCTAAAACTGAGCGGAAACAGACCCACACTCATTCAGGAAACAACAACAACAACAACAACAACATTTAACAGTGTTGACAGTGTCACAGCAACTCACCGTCGATGTCTCCCAGTGTAAATTCATCCCCTAATTCCGCTAACGTGGGGTCCATGTTCTCCATGTTGGAGATGTACTCTCCGCTGTCCATTCTGTCTGTTAGCACCTCGCTAACGGCTGTCACCCGAGGATAGCAGGGTGAAAAGGGTGTTTTGTGGCGCTCAGCGACGCCTACAAAACCCTTATCTAATTAACTAGTTTATTATTAACCGGAACAAGCCTCAAACCACCCTAGAAACCCCAAGAGAGGCAGACTTCGGTGTCGATAAAGTAGTTCACTGAGATATATGTTTAAGTTGTCGCCATCTTGCATTACGCTCATTACGTCATTCACAAACAGACTCTGTGGCCCAGAGCGGGTCCTGATTGGCCGAGAGAGATCTGTTGTTGTCATGAGACCAGTCGCCATCGTCCAATGAGAAGGTCGTATTTGCCGTGGTCTGATAGTACGTCAACCATCAGAAGCTTCTTTGTCATTTGAATAAACCGCGCCCCCTGTCTTCTTGAAAATAAGTTGTGGACCTCATTAGAAACAGACATTCACCACCTTAGAAGTAATGACTAATTGAGAATAAATACTTCAGACATGTCATTTCGCCACTTGTATCCGTCACTTTTAGTCAAAAGACTGGCACTAGGCCTTACTTATCAGCAGCCAAACCATTTTAAACTGCAATTAATTATATATCTAATAACAATAACACACCACAGTACAGTATATAGTGTAATACACGTTATGTGAGTACAATGTGCACATTCTTACTCAGACATCTTACGTTTATATAAATATTTGCATGATTCTTTATTTATTTTTTATCATATTTAAGTCTAAAATGTCAAGAAAGGCAATTTCCCCTGGGATAAATAAAGTATTGTCAATGCAATTCATACGGTTAGTGCACATAAAAGATTTGAGTACTTTTATAATATAGCAGCAACAGTGCAGAAAAAATACTCCAATACTTTAAATGAAAATATACAATATGTAGGCTGAAAAGTAAAAGTAAATACAAATACAGTTGAATTATTAAATGAGTGTATCCAACTATTATATCTAAGGTAAAGTACATGTAAAGATATACTCAAGCACAAGCACCTTAAAATGTACTTCAGAAAATGCTTTTGAGGCAGTGGCAGAAAATAAGAAATAAGGCCATAATATTCAGTCATGGAAGAATACTTTATTCCTTTCATTTTATTGCATCACAATACTGCTGATACATTTGCAGTAACTATAAACAAGTTGATCATAACTAGTTTTAATACATAAGTGCAAAACGGTTGACAGATTACAGGAGGTGAAACACTGCAATACAACCAGGTATCTTTATTATTTTAATAGATTAATGAAAATATAACACTTCTACTGCTTTTGTTCATTTTTCAACACCCATTAATGAATGAGTTTAACAACATCTTAGAAATAATATCGCACCTATCTTTTTTCACTTCTTTGATTCTTCTTGAGAAAGGTCAAAATGAAATGTGTGTTTTTCACTTCATTTAAAAAGTGTGTTTATCAGTTCTTGTTCAAAACCAAACCATTGCGAGATGAATGACAATCTTACAAAAATGGATTCGTTTTTTTCTTTATCAAACCTCCCAGGCAGCACTGCAAATGTCACTGAATTCATTCACCAGCCTCAAATAGCTCCAACCAACATCACTGCAACTTCAATTTCTGCTCTCTTTTATCTATTGTGTGATATCTCTCACTGAGGGCAGCTACTGTGGAGTGTAGGACTTCATAGGGAAAAACATGATCTCACTGTTTGTTCCAGTAGATCTCATACGACTTCTTCTCTGAGAAGTTGGCTTCTGTTGTTGCTGTGCCACACCTCACTCTTTCCTTCACCACCTTCACCACCAGACCACCCGCCAAGGCAATGCCCGCTGCAGCCTTTCCGATCTCAGCCACTGCACTCAGGAGGCGTGTGGACACAGCCACTGTCCCCCAGGGGTCCGACACCACGCTACCAGCCACAGAGGACACACTGGGCCCTGTAAACCCGCACAGAACACCAGGAGTCCCAGCAGCCACCGGGGCATTTGCAACCGCTGCAGCTAACGGAGGAGCTACACTTCCTGCTACTGAAGCTACATTAGCTACAGATGCTGCCCCGCCCCCTACTGCTGCAGCTCCACTGAGAGCCGCTGTGCTGAAAGCTGCTCCCTCCAGAGCGGCTCCTAAAGCGGCCCCAGCTCCCAAGGTGCCTCCCACCCCTGCTGCCACCCCCACAGCAGAGGCCCCTATGAGACTAACCTGCCCCAGGGCATCCAGAGCGCCCTCCCCAGGACTTGCAGCTTCAGCAGCAGCGATAGCCCCTACAGAACCACCCAAAAGTCCACCCGTTGCCGCCCCCAGAGCCACTGCAGTTTTCCCAGAGGCCGCCGCTACTATGGCCCCCCACAGCGTTCCCAACACCTGAACCTCCAGCGACAGACATCCCGGCAAATTGACTTGCAGCAAAACCAATAGAGTTCCCCATCAAAGAAGCCCCGGCAGCGGCTGCTAAAGGTGCAGCGGCCCCGAAAACGACCCCCACTGCCAGGCCTGTGGCCCCAGCAGCCACCATGATCTTAACCCTCTCCAGAACCTTAGCAGAGAGCGCTGCCTCCCTCCTCGTGAGAGAGGAATGGAGAGACTGGCGCCTGCTCACAGACCTGCTGCCTCTGAACTTATCTCTACATCGTTCAACTCTGTTTCTCAGGAAGCTAAAAGGATTGCCTCTGCTCTCTTCTGTCCACCTCTCCATCCTAAAATCCTCCTCCCTTCCTCTCTCCAACTCCCTATTCCTGGATTTTACATCGCTGCTTTCTACTCTGTAAGTCTCCAAGTCACACTTTCTTCTTTTTCTAAATATATCCTGTTCTTCCCCCTCTGCTTGCTCCCTCAAAATCCTCTTCTGCTCCTCCTTGATGGCAGCCTCTGCTTCTAAAAACATGTTATTGGTATAAAACCCTTCCTTAGTCTGCCTCACCATGTCGCCCACCTTCAGTAAGAGCTCTTGAACCTGCGCTGAGTTGCTGGGGTCTTTGTTGTTCAGTACATGGTACCTGCCTCCACACCTGTCAATCAGAGCTTTAAGCCCAGCAGGTGCGGTCCCCCTGAGATAATCTTCGATCTCTACGCCCTCCAGGTCATCACCCCTGGTAAAAAGAATCACTGTGTGGTGACGGACTGCCTCCTCGCCAAATATTTTGGTTAACTCGCACGCAGCCTGGTTCTCATTCTCAGTGTATCGTCCTATTGGCACCACCAGCAGGAAGGCATGCGGCCCGGGGGCAGAGAGAGACACACATTTAGCAACCTCAGCATGGATCTGCTCCACAGATAAGTGAGTGTCCCCAAACCCTGGCATGTCGACCACCGTGGTCCTCCTCATCCTCCTCTGTGTGACAGTCTGATCTTCCTCCTCAGCTTCCTCTTCCTCAGTGCTCCCTAGCTGGCAGCTCTGCGTGACTGAGCTGGCGCTGATCTGTGACAGGAACTGCCTTCGGCCCAGGATGGTGTTTCCAGACGCACTCTTTCCGGATCCAGTTTTTCCGATGAGGACCAGCCTGAGCTCTTCAGTCCATCTGGATGCAGGGTCGTCTCCTTCCCTCTCACCCTCCATATTAACTGGGTCCTTTGTCTCTTCCTTATATCCTGGAAAATATGCAATGAAAAAGTGTCTCTAATGAACTGAGTGTGTTGGTATTTTCTGTGATGGAACAAGTACTCAGATTATTAAATCAGACTTTAGTTCCACCTGGAGTAAATCCACAAGCTACCCTGCAGTATACAAAGTCATTCAAACTAGCTGCACCTTTACCAGCTTTGAGAACACTTTAATGATCAATCATTATAAAACATATCATATATATTATTCTGAAATGGACCAATCTGCACAACGACTACTTTTACTGTCGCTACTTTAAGTATAATAATAATAATACATTTATAAAGCGCTTTTCCTGGTGCTCAAAGCGCTTATAGTATATTTTAAAGTATATTAAAGTATATTTTGATGCTAATACTTTTCTACCTTTACTTGAGCATAATTTTGAATGCAGGACTTTTATTTGTAACAAAGTATTCTTACACTCTGGTACTTCTACTATTACTTAAGTACACGATCCGAGTACTTCTCCAACCTCAATACATTCCTAAAGTACAGTACTTATACGTAGTTACTTTCCACCACTGCATATTTACTTTTTGATAGGTTAATTGCACCTAAAAACAATATGAAGGCGACAAAGGTCATCTACCAAGCCTAGAAAAGTCAGTGTCTGTCGGGAAGTTTCCAATGTAAACAAAGCATCTCCATTGAGTAGGTTACCTAACAGCTAATGTTATATAGCAGCTAGCCTTACCCACTAACATTAGGGTGCTTAAGTTGGATGTTTATAGCTCAAATGCTACCTAATGTCAACCAAAATCAAACATCAAATACAGAAATCAAGTTTTAATCGGTAATACTTCCCTGTAGCCACTGCTATTTATTAGCAATGCGAAGCTAGGTAAAGTAAGCAAATATCAACAGCTAATTTAGCTAACAGCTAGCATTAGCAAGTTGCTATTTTATGACGGAAACAGCCACTATAACGACATTAAACGATTACCTTACCTGAGTCCATGTTAATATAATTGTTAGAAGCCTTTCTCAGTCTCAGTAAAAGAGGTCGTTTCGTCTCTACATTATTTAGTTTCCTTCTGAATGCAGAAACATTTCAGGTTGAGCTTTGTTCAACCATAAACCAAAAACATTGGACTTTAGTCGGTGTGATTTTGGGAGGACTGCCTGCCCTCTGTTGGCTGATCTCTACAACTCACTGTGACACAAACACACTGTGCAATGTTAACATATGAAATGCACTTTATTTTGTATATCCGAGTCACTTTATTTTATTAAATTTGATAACAAAATGGCTTGTTCATTCTGCAGCAATGATATTATTTCTCTGAATATACACATATAGTTTGATAACAGTCTATTTCAAAATTACAACAATCTCAATTCCATAGATCTAAACCATTAAAATATGTTGATTCCCAGCAAAGATAAATAGAAAAAGACAAACAAAATGAAAATAAAGAAGCTGGTGCAGGGCTGCAAGATAAATGTTTCTATCCTGGACCTCTGGTTGACAGATACTCAACAGGATGACAATATTATAATTATTGTTAACTAAAAGGTCAATATCTGAAACGGGGAATGATATAAAAGGAAAAATCCCTGATGATAAACAAAAATATTCAAAAAGACACCAAAAAAAAGGAACAAATTAAGGAATACTGTCTTTCAGGCAAACAAAACACAAGATGTGTCTTTTAAAACTTTGAGCAGCAATAAGAACATTAACCTGCCCACTCATAAACTTCACTCTAGATATATCCAACATATCTCAATTGAAGGAAAACATTAATAAAAACGGTATTCCATCAATTCAAGGCGAGGACCATTTATATTTGGCAAACACACTGATTTTGAAGCATATGGGTTTTAGACACATATAATCTAGAACAGACACAATACATTGGGGTTTATTTTAAGATTATACTGAAATTAAATATATTCCAAAGTACAGTTATTGAATCCTCAAGTTATCAAAAATGAGTTTCCCCTTTCAACTCCTATTTGAGACGTCTCTACTTCTTATTCAACGTTAGATTCTCCAATTATAAATCGCACATATACAGCAATTCAAGCCTGCGTCAGAAACTCACTAACCACTTCCACTTTATTGGTGTCACCTTGAGGTTTTGTTCTCAACAGAGCACCAGGCTTTTGTACAAGTGATGACAGCTTTTTATTTCCTTCACCGTCATCGGAGTCTACAAGTCAAGCCACCCCTTGTTGACTGTTCCTCCTCTTCCTCTTCTTCTTTTACTAACGCTCTGTTTTGCAGCGCTATAGCTCGTTGCGGGAGCGGGAAATGCGAGGACCTTTCCGGATCTCTTTCCTCTTCTCCTCTTTCCTCCTCCTCTTCTCCTCCTCCCTCAGAATCTTCTGGAAAGCCTCGGCAGTGTGAAGCACCTGAAGCAAGGAGTAGAAGAATAGAGTAGTATACAAAGTACGAGTACCTTAAAATGTCCATTAAAGGTGGGGTAGGTAATTCACTTCAGAAACACTTGTTATATTCCATGGAATGCTCTTAACATCCCGATAGTAATGAATATCTTAAGTGCTTTGACAATAAATACATGAAAAAAATGTCATCTGTGGAAGCCGTGGCGCTGTAAAAAGTACGACCAATCATCTGAGCCGGCCCGGCTAAAGTAACTGGATGGCCTACCTGCCTGTCAGCCTTCCATCTGTGCACAAACTGATCTCGTGCCCTCATTGGTCATGTGCGCATTCGTGTGTGTTGGAGGAGGGGCTCTGTAAGGAAGTCTGAAGGAAGGGGCAGATTTTTTTCGGCTGCGTACTTTCAAATTCTAGCGCACTCGAGCTGGTTTCTCCATTCTTACCTACCCTACCTTTAAGAGGACATACAATGCTAATTTTCAGGTTCATATTTCATGTCTCCATGTTTTAATGTTCAAAAAGCTCTTTATTTCTCTCATACCACCTGTGCTGCTGCACCTCTTTTCACCCTCTGTCAGAAACCAGAGTCCAGTCTGCTCCGATTGGTTAGCTGGCCGGCTCTGTTGTTGGTCATCCACTTACGTAATACATTTACTTCCTTACATTTCACCACTAGAGATAATGAAACAGTATGATATAGCAATGATTTGTCTCTGTGTTGCAATTGTTACTGGTTGCTAGAAAGTAAAGGGCATTAAAGGTCATTCGAACAGGGTGTGTGTGTGTCTGTGTGTGTGTGTGTGTGTGTGTGTTTGCATTTTACTCACGTCGTCTCTCTCTGTGCGATACGGGTTTATAAAGTCTGGGGATTTCTCTGTAATTCCCAGCTCCTGTGACATCTGACAGATTAGCAGAATAGACAGGTGACAGGGGAGAAGAGGAGAGGGGGGGGGGGGGGCACATTGTCATTTATTCAATAGAAATACGCTTTTTCTGCAGACAAAAAGCAGTATAAGGCAAGCAGCAACAGTTCTTCCATATATTATTTTATCATATTAGCATTCGACCCTATGGCTATATGAAAAATAGCGGGCTCAGAAACTAAGAGTTGCTGAGGAGAAGCTAACTGCTGCTGCTGCACCACTCAGAATTAATCCACAATATAATCCCCTTGGCACGTTGCTAAAGTCACAGATTAATGCTGCAGGAGTTTAGTTCATTAACCCTTAACATTAAACAAAACACAATTTTATCTGCTTTTAAATTTCAACTCATCATGGACAAATCCGATGACGAATGGCACCGTTATCAGCGTCTTTTCAGCAAACAATAAGGTGCCTTGTGCTGCATGTATAACAGCAGATTGCAGTGAAATCTCCATGGATACTGTATAACCTGAACAAGTATGGTTCTGTCATGTCTCTGCACCTGGCAATTTACCACACTGTGCACTGTATTGTTATTTCTTCCATGTCCTTGTCTCCTGCAGAGAAAGTGATTCATTTCATCATGGACTTATGATGAATTCTGCATCTACACTTCAAAATAACAAAGCAAATATTTCGGCATTGATTTAAAATGGACAGAAAACCGCAAAGAAAGACAAAAGTATTGTGCGATTTTTTCGTATTTTCAAGGCCCTTAAATGTGGTCTGATTTAAGAGTTCAGCATCTTTACCAAAAGGAACAAGTCTTTCTGTTTAGCTCTGCAGAATAGTGATCTTAGAAAAATGTTTCTTCCTTTAAAATTCAGTAGCTGGATTTTTATAGTTGGCATTCATTCTTTTAAAAACAGAAAAGGCAGCCGTTGTTGAATAAAAATGTCAAATCCTGACTTCACTAAATGGCTGGGGACTTCTAAACAAGTTACTCTACTTAAGGCATTTCATTTGTACCATTATTTTCCCTTTTTCAGACTCCTGTGTTTATTATGTCTAACCTATTTCAACCAATGTTTAGATCGATGAAAATAATGTTTTGGGACCATTTAGTATTAACAACTAGTGTAGTTTTAGGGTATTTGGTTAGTATTAGGTGTTTATTAGCTTGTAAATGTTTCTGTAGAATACATTCTATCTCTCCATTTCTAGATGTGTTATTATTAATATATACTGTAAACACTTTCTCTCTCTCGTGTCCAGGCCCTTATTCTTAAGATTCAGATAGTTTATCAAGGTGTCCCATTTCACATTTAAGCAATCATACACGAGAGGGCCGTTCTTGAACGTCATTATTGGTACGACAGTACTGCGGCAGGACCGAGGCGCTTGCGCCGAGGGATATTGACTTGTTGTGAAAAGGCACGTTCTATTTGATCGTTGTTTGATCGTGGAATCAAACACGCCTATTGACCAATCAGAGAGCTTGCTCACACCTATGTGTTATAGAATACTCCATTATACCCAATGATTGAGCTTGTATTTTTAACCATTTGTGAAGAAAATGTATTGAAATCAAAGCTCAGAATCCTTTGTTTACACCCTTACATCAACGGACTGTGACAAGACTCATCAACAGGTAATATTAGGGACAGGAAAGACGAGAATCCACTCTTACCAGTGTGAGGACATGTTGGTGGGCTCCTCCTGTGAAGACCCCCGACTGGTTGCAGAAGTTCAGGCCCCAGCGCAGCATCCCGTCCCAGTCCTCGTTCCGGTCGTAGTAATGGTGGACGATCCGGGGGAAACGCAGCGCCACGTCGCCAAAAAACGCTGTGTTCTCGACCACGTGGGAGTACGCTGCAGAGAGGTAGAGAGAGAGGGAAGAGACAAAAACATAGCTACATTTAAATTCTGATATACTGCACATACTGTATTGTAATTAATTAAAGTTGTTATTTTCTTGTACTTACATTTTTTTTGTACATTTCTTCTAATCATTTTTTTCAAATATTTCTATAATAGTCCTATATTTTCTTTCTTTCTTTTTTACAACCTAACTTCTCTTACTGTGTTAATATGTATGTATGTATGTATATACATTATACACCAATTTCATTATACTGTGTAAACATTACTTGGTGATTAACCTGATTTAGATTCTATATACGTTTTTGGAGCATGATCCAAAATAACAAAAAATATACAGGTTAATTGGACTTAATAAAACAGAGGAGGACAATTTTGATAATGAATTTTTGTTGACAAAACATACAGAACATCCTAATAATTGGGACGAATAAAAATGTCTAATTTAGTTTCGGCAGGACTCAAATAGGTGTTGGGTTAGGAGAAGCCTGGGGAAAAGGGAAGATGATATTCGTGACATTCAGACGCTAAAGCTGATATTATTGACACCCTCTGGCACCGAAAGAGGATGAAAGACATCCTGGAGATGCTGCTAAAATAAAGTAGCTTATATAAGAGCAGGAGACATTTCAAATGAGGAAAGAGCCGAGGTATAAAAGCGAATCCGACCTTCTTTGATCTTATCGTCCATCGGGAAAGGGTCGTCAGGCTGCATGTTGGCCGAGATCAGGATTTGTCTCGAGTCCTCCAACACCTTAAGAATAAGAAAAAAAGCTGAGTAAAGCAGGTTTATGTACTTTACAATATGTGCTTGGGATGTAGGTGGTTGCTATGGTGATGCAGGTGAAAAATAACAGTGATGATTTGAAAGGAACCTGCCTGCCTATCATGACATTGTACACACCACTTCACTGCTGACACTGTGGGATGCAGTGAATCTGCTAAAGAAGCTTTACAGAACATTAGGGTTTTGAAGTAAGAAGGTACATTTTTTTAAAGGGGCCATGTTATGCAGATTTTCAGGTTCATATCAGTATTTAGTGTCTCTACTGTAACATGTCTCCATGCTTTAATGTGCTGCAGCACCTCTTTCCTCCCTCTGTCTGAAACCAGAGCCCAGTCTGCTCTGATTGGTTCGCTGGTCAGCTCTGTTGTGATTGGTCAACTGCTTAGAGATGTCCCGCCCCTTAGCCTATCACGTACAATGTGTTGGAGCACTAGCCAATAGAAGTGTTGATGTCACTATATTAAAGAAGTAAACAAAAGAGTCCAATGGAGGTGTTTCAGGCAGGAGGGGGGTTTGGGAACATAACCTCATTAAGAAGACTGATTCAGTGTTTACCTCTCTTATTGTACACCAACTCACAAGCCATGCGCACAGACGGTGCCTTCCTGCCTTGCCTCAGGACTCTTTGGTAGTTCATGTTTTTTTTATTGATCTTAGTCCTAATGATTGCCACTATAAATGTCAAAAGTCAAAATTCAAAAGTTGAACATTGCTCAACTTTTGAAGCGAGCAACGCTCCCACAATGCAGTTCGGCAAAGCGTGACGTCAACCCATTCAAAGTGAATGGGCAGAAGCGTTGAAGCTTCAACGCACGCCGCCGTGTGGACGGGCTGTTAGCCTATCACCTACAATGTGTTGGAGCGCTAGCCAATAGATGTGCGAGTGTTACATCGTGATGTCACTATGGAGTGTGTGGGAGAGAAACTCCCTCTGGAGGGAACACAGGGATTTTAGCCTTTGCAGACCATTTACATGCACTAAAACCTATTTAACACACTACTACAGGAAAGGGAAAACACAACAGGGCCTCTTGAAGTCAACACACTGCACTCTTTTTTTATAGAGACACTTAATGCCATATTGTAATTAAAAACACTCAAACAAATGGACTGGGATCAGAGTGAGTGCAGCAGCGTTTACAGGGATAGAGATCAAAGAAGGAACACACACACACACACACACACACACACACACACACACACACACACACACACACACACACACACACACACACACACACACACACACACACACACACACACACACACACACACACACACACACACACACACACACACACACACACACACACACGCTGACAATGTATTCCAGCCGCTGAAGGTTGACTCCGCATGTTGTCCTTGAGAGATGATCCAAGATAACTGTCCTCTGGGAAGACGTACAGTAAAGCAAAAGCTCCGAGCTCAGGGAAGTGAATGGCACTCCGAGGAGCTGAGTCCGAATAAACATTTCAATAAATAAACGAGAAAACAAGCCGATGAATGTAACCGTTGGATTTGAAGCTTTTTGAATTCTGTCGGATCTTCTCATCCGTCAATCTGCCGAGAGTACAGGCTGGTTTGCGCTTAGAAGCAGCTGTAACATTTTGTTTTATACTAGTGGCCTTGAATGTGCTTGATGTCGCAGTAACACACACACACACACACACACACACACACACACACACACACACACACACACACACACACACACACACACACAACACACACACACACACACACACACACACACACACACACACACACACACACACACACACACACACACACACACACACACACACACACACACACACACACACACACACACACACACACACACACACACACACACACACACACACACACACACACACACACACACACACACACACACACACACACACACACACACACACACACACACACACACACACACACACACACACACACACACACACACACACACACACACACACACACACACACACACACACACACACACACACAGCTTACCTTGAAGAGTCCTTTGAGCATGATGTCTATGATCTTGTACTGCTGGTTGATGTCGTTCAGCTCCACCAGATTTTTCAGCGCGCTCAGTTGATCCTTCCTCTTGGTCTCGAACAGACGCTTGTCTAAAAAAAGGCAGGTCAGGAGCCAACACATGGGAGTAACTCGCATAAACGCTCGCTCATGCATCCATCTGTCGCATTAAAAAGGCACAGAAATATAGAAATGGGCGATAAATCAGTAGTTTGATGATATGATGTTTTGCTGTATTGTTCATTTAATGTGTGGGTTTTCACTATCAGTGCCTTAATGAGCATCTGGAAAACTGCAAATGTCGTCGGTTTTCTTGCAAGTAAACACTCGATGTCAGAGGAGCTTGTCTCCTATCTCTGTTCTTAAAGTTATCCATCATTGATAGTCAATTCATACGTTTATTTGGCCACACAACAGACAAAATGCTAAGGGACTAATGTTATAATTCTTCTCGTTTGTTTTTGCCTCTGCTTAAGCGATCGTGTGATTTTCTGTGCTACTATAATTTTTCTTTTAACACCATTAACCTGCCAGGCTGTGCTGATGAAAATGAGCCTCCATGGGTAAATCAGGCACATTTACATGATGGATGCTTATGTTAATTAATGTGCATCCTCCCTAAATAAATACACTCTAAAAAAGGTCCAAATGCCCAGTTTCACAATGTCATATAAACGTTTGTTTTGGGTAAAAGAGAGTCTAAACGCTGTTAGAGTCTCAGTCTTTAGACATAGCTTCAGACTGACTTGTTGCAAGTACTTGGTCTCCTATACCAGTGTTTTTCAAAGTCGGGGCCCGACCCCCCGGGGGGCCGCATGCAAAGTTTGAGGGAAAGGGGATTTTTTTTTTTTTAGATGTTATTAATAACTGCATATCTATCAATCCATGTGTCCTTTGATGCCAATCTTTTAATAGTTTTTAGTTTTTAAATCACACGACCGCCCTTCAAGCCAATCAGAATCGAGCTGCCGTTACTGAGAGTGAAACTGAGGCCCATTCCCAAACGGCCCCCTACACCCTACCCCTCCGTTTGCGCGTTCACGCGGAGGGTCCGCCATATTGAGGGCTGTTCCAAAGCAACGAGTGTGGAGGGGGAGTGGGCTATCAAACAGCGAGTCTGCAGCGGTGCTGACTTGAGACCGGTCTCTACCTGACCGGAGTCACGCTGTGTGTGTCCGTCAGGAAACAAGCTGTTTACAAGTAGTTCCAGCAAACATCCACTGATAAACTGCGATGTTAACAACCTCATGATAACCTCATATGTTTTTAACTGAGGATAATACCTGTGTTTAGTCTAGAAAAAGGTAAATGTGTGCATTTTATTATAAAGTTGTGTATATTTACAGACTGTTGCAAAAACTAAGAAGCTTATAAACATCAGGTTTAAAACTAAAAGAGCTTTGAAACACAATGAAAGATGTTTGGAGTTTTATTTGAGTTACTTAAACTTTTTGTCTAAGAGATGCTGATCTGAAACCGTTGTTACATACAGTTACGGCATTTCCTGTTTCTGCCGGAGAGAGGGGAGGCCGTCCCAAAGCTTGCTGCTGTATTTACTCCCTCCATCTGACAGGAGGAAGCCTCGTTGAGCTGCGAGTGTGGCTACAGACGGAGTTCACTCCATCACGGAGGGGTAGGGTCGAGGGAGTGGTTTGGGATTGGGCCTGTGTATCTACTCAGCTTTTGGAGCAAGTGAGAGCTAGTGAATATTTCGCTCTGCAGCTGGATGAGAGCACGGATGTAGCAAATATTGATGTTTATATATATGAATATATATGTTAATTGTTCATATTACTGTTCAAAATTATATAATATTATAAAGACAGAAATCACTTTAAAAATGCTTTAAAAATATGTTTACCGTTTAATATTGTGTTAAGAATGTAAGACACAATGAATGTAATGAATGACAAACAAAAGATAAATACAAACAATTTTTAGAAGAATAACTGATAATTAATTATTAATACAAATATATATTAAGAAAACGTATTAAGCTGTATGATTAATTTGTCATATTTTCCATCATAATGTACTCATCATTTAAAAAAGAATTGCAACAGGGGGGTCCCCGCCAGAGGATAATGCTATATGGGGTCCTTGGCATGGCAACGTTTGGGAACCCCTGTCCTAAACACTATAATCACACACTTCAGTAATCAGTGTGATTGATTTTCTGTTGTGTTATATATTCTAATGTTTTAAGGCATCAGATCTACAACTGAAATGTTCAGTGACACGCACACACGTCAGTGCATTTGGCAGCAGCTCTTGCACACACACTCTCAGCAGAAGGATACAGATGTCCAGGCTGGAGTCGTGTCTCAGACGGTGTGTGTCCGTGTCCGCCGAGCTGAAGGCAGCCAGCGCCAGGATCACCGCACACACACTCTGCATGGTCAGCAGGGAGGACACACTCCTGTAGGAAAGATCACAGTAAATCACGTGGTTAAACATCCACATCCTGGCACAGAGAGGGAGAGGAATGAGTCCTAAACCCGTAAATTAGTTAGCATTTTAACACTTCTGGTTCTCATCTGGAAGTTGCTGGTTATTTGAATGAGTTTTTAGATGCCTGAAACTGGACTAAAAAGGACTGCATTTTAACAGAAAGCTTAGATATGAATCATGACATTCAAATAAGTGTACAACGAACACGTTTATATAATTCACCAGCTTTCAACTCCCTAAGAGGAAAGGAGAAAGCTGGCAATAGTGGTGCAGGAATGAGTCCTTAAATCTTTAAATGAGTCAGCATTTCAGCACTTCTGGTTCTCGTATGGAAGTCAATGGTTTTGTGAATGTGTTTTTGGTTTGAGGCCTGATATAAGGTCTGTGGTTAACACAAGAAGATGATTTCACGATTTGTTCTACGACATAAAATACATCAGGAAATACCCCACTGGTGAATATCTGAAGCTTTTACGAGGAAATAAAAAAACTGTGTTTGCCAACAAGTGTCTAAATGAGACGAACATTAGCCGCCTTTAGCTTAGCGGTGGTGGCGGGAAGTCATGTGACCGTGCTTTATAGCCTAACGTTAGCTTTTTACTTCTGGAGATTGCATTTATGCGTCAACAAGGATAAAAGTGGTGTTAATATGCAGATTATCCTACTGAACGAAACATGTAAGTATCATAAACGTGTGTTTGCTACAGATCTTATTTTCTGCAGTATTCTGTAATCCAATGGAAAAATCCCATTGGTTTTTGTCGAGAGAGCCCTTGAGATGCTAACTAACAATCGGCCTAAAATACGTCATCCCTGCCCTCTATGCAGAGAGACAGAGTGGAAAGGGAGAGTGAACGACATGGTGTTTTTATACAACACAAATCTTTTGTTATTCTCTGAAGATGGAACTCAGAACTGAATTAGTTTGGACTTCCACAGATTTCACTTTCATCTGAAACAGTGTATCTTATTCATGAAGCCCCTCTTTCTTCTTCCAATGCTGCTTCATGTCTCGTGATACTTTGACACAGAGACATGCTGGGGATAAGTGGTCAATATGGAGCCCTGGAGGGGGATCCGCCATTTAAAAAGACACATCTGATGTCTGGCACTTGCGTAATCCCCAAAGGAACATTCCCTGAAGCAGACCCCCGGCTCTCTATCGAAAGCAGAGGTCTTCACCGATATCTTCACCCCCCCCCTCTTCGTTTCTTCCCTCAGAGGCTTTTTATACGTTTGAAAAAGGGAGGGATGAGAGTGAGGAAATAAATGCAACAGCTAAAAATAGAAGCCTCATCAAATTAAAATTTAATGAAAGCCACATTTTAAGAAAAACATTAGCAGAGGGAGGGCGGGAAATGTTGATGAAAAGCTAAAAGAATATTTCTCACATGCATCATTTATCATTGGTTCCCATCATGGTATTATCACAGGGACGCAGACGGGGGTGCAGGGCGTGAAAGGAGAGCCAGGTTGTGAAAAGCAGGTGGAGAGCAAGAGATGTGTCGAGGTGAAAATTGGTAGATATGGTGGCCTGACAGGGACAAACGCACTACAATGGCACAAAACACTTACATTAGGAGAAACGCGCTTCAGTTTAAAAACAATTCAATTTAAAAAACACAAATAGACCAAAACATGCAAATGAAGAAACATCTTCACCAAACACATCGCACAGGTTACTAAAAGTGCTGCATTAATGAAACCCTGCAACTACAAAACGCAGCATGAAGCTCAAACCACATCGGAAACGAAATGGGGACACTAAAAAGTGACGCACACAGCTGGGAGTGGAGCGCTTGTTGATGTTCGGGGATTAAAAAGTACAACTATCACTGGAAACTAGGGGGGGGGGGGGGGCGCTGCCTGAGCGGGGGGAGTGGTGGTGTCATTGGGATATATATTTTTTATAAATCTTCTGGAGCAGAGAGAGGAGCTTTGGATTATTGCTATTGATAAGTGCATCAGTGTTTCTTAGGGTCAAAAACACTAAACTCACAACTTAAAATGAAAGCGTTTAGTTTATTTAATAAAAGGGCACATGTGTGAAAAGTGACAGTAGATGAGTTGCAATTTGGTTCCAAATAAAAAAAAAATATATATATATATTTTTTAAAACACCTTGAATTCCAAGACAATGGTAGGGGACACACTGTCGATTATTTGGGTCAATAATTGATATGACGATTATTAAAAACGATTATCCATTTACTTTGAAAACATCAATTTATTGGAGATTTTTTTTTTTAACAGTTGATTACCGTGAACTTTAAGTATAACTCAACTGAAAAACCAATAATAAAAGAAAGAAGAAAAAAAATCGTTTTATTTCCATTACGTTGTTTTCGTAATCGTTGCAAGCCATAATCATAATCGCGATTAAAATACGATTAATTGAGCAGCCCTACTGGAAACTAACCTCAAATCTAAGTTGTATCGGCTTGTTTTAACAATGCGATCACATATTATTCAGACCCGGCGCCAGAACAAATCTAAAGGGAGGGCATATGATTTTCATGGGAGGGCACACAAAACCGTCACGTGCTGCGGGCCTGCGGCACAATATCAAACAGCAAGGCCAACAGGATTGCGTAAAGACGCACACTTATCGCAAACATACACAAATAAAGGGCAACATAGAAACCACTTTGAAACATTGTGTGCGTGGCAGCACAAACACTGGTAAATCACGAGCAAGGCACACTGGTTACGGATGGCAGCTTCCTCATCGCTGCACTCGGAGAGAAATAGTAGAGACGGAGACGATGAGCTGTTTAGCCCGCCTTGGGCATGGTTTATGTTCCGATGCACTGCACTCGGACATGCTGTGGAGTGCATCGAGTCACCTCTGAGAGGGAGTTGGTTGACAGCTAAAAAAAGCTATAATATCAACGACAGCTGACACGTAATAACGGCTCCGTGCAGCTGATCTGCACCAAAGTTATAATTTCCTTATGTGTTTCCTCGCATATCTGTCTCTCCACAAACTCTCACATGAAATGTGTTCTTTTGATGCGGCATGCATTAGCAGTCCTTTATCAGTCTGTAATGCGTGTTTCCAGTCGCAAAAACCTTTGACAGTAAAAGCCGCATCAGATGAAGACGTTTTGACTTTAAACTGTCTACAGGGGAAACAAAAGGCTGCGTCTGCTTTTAACGAATATTCAAGCCGGTCTGTTGTTGTACCATGCAGCGGCAAAAGTGCGCTTCTTTCCTGAAAACAATCTCCCTGGATAACGATCCAGCTTCACCTGCTTGGGTTCATTAACCCCAAGATCATCGCTAACTCAGCCCCGGGGTTTGCCGAGGTCAAGCTTGTGACATTAAGGCGTGCTGCTGCAACGGCAGGTGCAGGGTCGCCAGCTGCACCATCGGCTGCAGTTCTTTCATCGCTATTTCGTTTTAATAAATCCTTAGACCTTTTAAGCCAATTTTTTATATCCATTTTGTAATTCAAACAGAAATGGGAGTCTACAGAATGCACAATAAACAAATCCAGAATAGGCGGCAGAGTGTGACGCTGTGATTGGTATAAATGGGGACGAATCACAAATCACAACAGACACATGCATTTATTTGACGTAGCCTGCGATTTTATTTTTTAGTTCTGACATCACATACATCGTAGCATAAAAGTTCACAGTTTATTTATAATTAAAAAAAATAAAATATATATATTTTTACATTTTTATAAATAATAAAAAACGTGTTTATTGGGGGAGGGCAGGAATGTCAAATGGGAGGGCCTGGCCCTCCCTGGCCCTCCCACGGCGCCGGGCATGATATTATTGCATATCTGCTGTAAGCCAGCTAGCTAACCTAGCTAACGTAGCTAATGTAGCTAACATTCAGTCATTTCAAATATACTGATGACACATTTACAGTTATGAAACAGACTAAATCTGCAAACACTGAAATGTGCATTACTTTTTGAGCGTCCCCTGGTTTCGGTTGTGTTTTGAGCTTCTTGCAGGGTTTCGTTTCGGCAGCACTTTTCGTAAACGCTGCTCATGTTTCGTCAAGTTGGTGAAGACGTTTCTTCATTTGAATGTATTTTGGCACATTGGTGTTTTTATATTTGCATTGTTTTTCAAAGTGCAGTGCGTTTCTTCTAATGTAAGTGTTGTGGGTCGTTAGTTGTCAGCCACTGAAGGTAGAGGAGCGTGAAGGCGAGAAATAACAGCTTTCCTGGTGAATATTTCCATCAGTCACACCTTTTAAGACACCGTGGGTGTTTCTCAATGTCGAGGAAGGATGCTCCAGAGCCACTATTTCAAGGATACTATGTCCTCGAGTCCCGCCGAAGGCCTGTTCCAATGTCCAGCATACTTGGAATTCTACCGAGGCCGGCGTCCTTCGTAGCGAGACATTTCGAAGGCTGCACATGTGTAGACTCCGGTCTTAAAATCCCCACAATGCTTTGCGCACGGACCAATTTCTAAATCTTTGGCGGAAATCGCGCTCCATTTAAGGCGGGGCCTCGCATATGACGCACACCTGTTAGCCTGTTCCACCATTCTTCGTTTTCCGAGGCTAGGAAGGATTCTTGCCTCGCTTCTGAATGACCTGACTCGGAGGACATGTGCTACCAAGCAAGCCTCCTCGACATTGAGAAACACCCACCGTTAAACACTCCCAGATAGGAGTCAATGGAAGATGATAACGATCATCATATGATGAATTGGAAATGGGGGACCCTGATGTAAACAAGACGAAAGTCTTTCTCTGGTCTGCATCCCCTTATCAATTGTATGTTTTGAGCTGTACTGTACTGTACCCAATATACAAGCTGTTAATACACTTTTCAATCAATCAATCAATCAATCACCAGGGTCTCCATTTTGCATGTCAGAATTGATCTTTACAAGGCGGCCAATTCTTGAATCTGAAGGACTAGTAAGTGCACAAAGGATGAGTGTTAATTTAGGCTGAATGAGCATCACTTAAATCAGAAGGAAACCAACCATATGCTCCTAAAGAGCAGAGAACATCGACTTAAACGTCCTCCTGTTTCCCCATCAGCTTTGCTTTTTTACGGCACATCCTGACAACTTTCCAAAGACTCCGCAGTAGATCTCGATAAGATTCTGCCAATGTGACATAAAACAATCACTTTTGTTGCAAGTGGTGTCGTCTGAGGTCGCTGAAGTAGTCTCTCATTTATAATAAAAACAGCAACTTTTTCTTCCCGAGTCAGCAAGAAAAAAAGTTTCCCGAAGACAGCCGAGTGAAAACAATGTTCGATTAAGGCCAATTTGTGCGTTCTGAAAACACCTTTTGGGTAGCTTCCCAGCTTTCTGAGAAACGCAGCACTAAATATCCGTAAGTGCTGCTCCAGAGCCTCAATATTTCTAGATAACAGCCAAGATAAAAAAAGGGGGCCTTGTCTCTCCTTGTCGACTTATTTGATGTCCTCCCCCCTCAGTGTGCTTCCATGCAGTCAGCCATGCAGCTCCGACAGCTGTTTAAGGGCAGAAAGGTTATGGCAACCAGCACGATTCAATGCCGTCAACACATATATATTTATACATCCTTTTGCCGTTTCCGTGCAATTGGGCGAAGTGCTGAGACCTTAAAAAGGAGAGACATTAGGAGTGCATCAATCATCTCCTAATGTGGCATGGGCAGCACAGGAATGAGAGTCTAAATGCGTCCATTAACCCAGACAAGGGTTGATCATTTAAGAGAAGCACTTATGTTCTGAATCAGATTACTCTTGAGAAATGAGACCTTTGACATGATTTCTCCTTTTGGCTTTCTCCCTTGAGTTGTACAAGACAGACAGTACACACATTATTACAACACAGATGCTCTGCAAGATGCACGCTTCGGATGGGTTTCCCTGCAGCTGATGCTCCAACGTCGGTTCAGATTTGGTCTGTCAATGTGGCACTCAAGTCGGGCGAGATGTTTTCGCCTCGGGTTGTTCTGTTCTGCGGTACAGTCGTCGTTGAAGCCGTGTAAAGCCCACGTAAATCTCTTGGCCGGAGGCGTTTCTCTTCCCTGCCAACAACCGTCTCCTGTGGCAGAGAGGCTGAAGTTTTGATTTCCTGTGTGGGGGATCCAGGTGTCCAGCTATGTCATATAAGTAGGCTAGCGTATATATCTGATCATACACACAACCAGCAGCGGTTAAAATCCCTGTGGCAGGCCCGGACTGGCCATCGGGAGGACCGGGAGGTTTCCCGATGGCCTGGCCTGCTAAGTGGCCTGCTGGCCTGAGGACTTTTATTTTATTTTATGTATGTCGTGAACGCAACGCTGCGCAAATGTGGGTCTGACTCTGCCTCACAGAGGGTGACTGGCTGTCTACATGATGTGGCCTGCCGACATGGCCACTTTCATACAGATCATACTAATGCCCGTCTCTGTGTGTCATTCAAGCTCGGGAGGGTGTGTGTTATGTGTGGCGCGAGCAGTGAGATAAAGCATGCGCACCGGTTACGTGTATTGTTGTTGTTGTTAGCATCTGGTGCTAGCTAGCTGCGCTAACGGATATAAGGAGCTTTTTCAACAACAAGGTGGAGGAGAGTCCTCTGCTGTCAGACTGAGAGGCTGATAACCTCAGACCCCCCTATAGGATTTGAGGTCCACCCCCACTTAAAATATGCTCACATAGGTTCCTAAATAGATTTGCACATTTTTTTAAATAGTAACCCATGTCCATAGCCTATGTTTATTTTTGGGTAGTAGATTTAAACTAGAGGGCTATCATTATGGGCAGCAATGCTGTAAATATTGACAAATAAATCCAGCAAAATGGCACAAAAAACTGATAGTGGCCTGGCTGGGTGTCTAATTCCCGGCCTGACTTATTGTCCCAGTCCGGCCCTGTGGTGTGCATGAGATATTCTCTAGAGGGAAGCAATCTTCAATCAAAAAGAGATCCAACCAGCTCTGTGACGTTAACTTCAAGAGGCAAAACTAGCCCTGGAGGTGACTCCTAAGAAGATGGAGCTAGAGAAAAGGGTACAGAGAGATGGATGTGCAGCAGGAGTGGATCCATATTCTGTCTACGGACAATAAGAGCGAGTTAATTTTATAAATGCAACTCTGCAATACATCACAATTATTCATGTAAGGAGGGCGCTTATGGTAAGTACTCCAAGTCTGTGTTTATAGATAGGAGATGTACCTTCAGGACTCATGCTTTTTGGTTTGTTTCTTCATGGCTGATTGCACTTATTGTAAGTCTCTCTGGAGAAAAGCGTCAGCTAAATTAAATGTAATGTAAGAGTCGCTCCTAGACTATTCGATCAATCCCGTTTTTCAAAGCCCAAAAACTCTTCAACCAAGAGAGATCCATCAAACTCTGTGACATTAATGCCAAGAGGCAAAACTAGCCTAAAAAACGACTCCTAAGAAGATGGAGCAAAAATAAAAGACGCTTATCTGGATTTGTAGCAGCAATAGATCCAGATTTCTTCCCCTCGGGCTGCCAGAAGGCTGTGGGATGTTTGAGATCCAAGGACTGACACACCATCTCTCTCTCTGTTATCATTCATGCAGAGGCACGGCTGCACGGACATGCGTAATGGTGATGATGATGGCAGAGCCTGGATAAAGACTGTCATGTGGACCATCAATCATGCATTGCCTAATTGATTGCAAGCCCCCTTTACCTGACCCGAGTTCGAGACTCACTACGGACAATACGAGGGAATTCAATTAGTAAAAAGCTGCGATGTGGGACTATTTCTCCTGCTTTAACTCCGCAATACAACACCATTATGTATTTAAAGGAGGGCGCGCAAAAGGTAAATTCACCAAGTATTTGAAGTAGCTCCGATACTTTACTCGATTCATCGCATTTTTGCAAAACACAGGTGACAGTATAGCCAGAAAACTCGCCTTTCACTCACCGTGTTGCAGAGAGAAACAGCCCGATTAGCGCACACCGTTTCCCCCAAAGTAGTGCAGATGAATCTCCTTTTTTTTTTAAATATATATATATATATATATATATATCTCCACACGAAGCGTTTAAGGTCAGCTCGGAAAACAGCACGTGTGATTGTAGACTCTCAGGAGGTGGAGGAGTTAATTTGCATGCGGATCTCTTGTATCCACTCCGCCAGCGCCACGATCGCACCCGGCTGGCTCTCTTTGGACGAATGACAGCCAGCAGGCGCTAACTGTGGAGGAGGATGTTGTTTCCGCACGGACGGTTTATGAGGAGACACCAGTCGGAGCGTGGGGTGCGTTCCGTTTCCCTTTTTGTGTGTTTCCTCTGAGATAATACAGGGTTGCCAACTCTCACACATCTGGCGTGTGACACACGCTTTCACTCTCAATCTCACGCTTCCCAAACTATTCTCAGGCCAAAACAAGAATACCGAAGACTAGAAACGGTTTTGAAAACTGTTGTCACGTAGTGATCGTCTTCTCAATAGAACATCTTTGATAATGTCTTCTGGCCAATCAGAATCAAGATAACGGCGTGGTGTTGTTGCAGGAAGTCTCGATGGAGAATACTTTTGCTGTAGTACATCTCTATATACATCGATACAACATTACGTGTTGATAGAAATCAACACGTAATCAAATAAGAGCCCACGGGTTGATGAGTGTGTGGGCTGTCTTTCATTTTGACACACAGAACAATGGGGGCTATCCACCCTTATCCACAATGTAAAGTAATTCACAGCCTCTTCCCTCTTCCCTCTGTGAGGAGCAGCAGGTTCAGCTTCATTTCAATATGTCGTGTAGTAATAGATTTATTTATTTTTCTTCTCAAGAGAGTACCAGAATGTGTATTTTATGTTAGTATTTCAAAAAATCTCCTGGAGGAGAATCCCCCAGACCCCCCTGCTGGGGTTGGGTTTTCAGCATGTCAACTCTTTCACCTGTGGGGAAATTGCAGGATTGGCTCCAGGTCGCCCTTTTTATTTACTACAAGACAAATGTGCCTTTTTGTTTCATACAGTTCAATTTGGATTGAGACAGGGAAATAATCTAAACCTCACGCGTGGCGTTTCACTGTCAAGGGGGCGATATAGCGTGTATTAATTACAATACTGACTTGAGCCCCACCACTGTATGGGTTAGCCCTACCATAGATTACCCAACACAAATACTCGGGAGCCGATAAGTCAATTAATTGCTTATCGCGACAGGCACACAATAAAACAGTGGAAACAAAGATGTGTTTGACTTTCATTAGTGAATGAAACTGTGTGCCCTTTATAGTCTGTGTCCAATATTGTATATCCTAAATATATGCTAAGGTCCCGCTGCTGACACGATAGCAGTCATTTCGTGCGCATGTGTGTAATTAAACCCATGATATCAAAATCTCACTCCAGCCAGGTACCCAAAGTTGGCAACCCTGGATAATAAGACCTCCCAAAATGTATCTTTATGGAGGAATTAATTAGCTATAAATGTGGCTAGAGATCAAGTCTTGAATTATTAAAAAATTATTAGTACAAATGTAAGGAGATGATTGTACTACTGACTAGAAGAACCATGTTTATTTTGATCTATAAGTTATATATCAGACATATTTATATATTTTTAAGGGGATCTGTTGGACAAAGATCTGTACGTATGTTCCCGTTTTGTGTTTATATAATGTATGATGTTATGTATGTTCATACATTTCGTTGACGACATCAATTGTGTTTCCTCTTAGAAAGTGTCCTGAAAATGTGAAGGAAACTTAATGAGTTCATTTGTATCAATAAGAACCTCTGACTTTACTATTTCTTTTAATTAAATTAACATAATTAGACCATTTGTACTGTCTGACTTGATTAGAAATACTTTAAACAACTACTAATATTAAGTTTCCTGCAATACTTAAATCCTATCCAGACATCCTAATTATGAACATTATAGTTACGTTTATCTGCATCAGCTTTGTTAAAGTGCTGATGGGTATGCAGTACTTCCTGTCTTTAATGGGACAAAACGTTCTCCCTGGATACATTAGGGAAAGAAGAGCTGAGGTTTGAGGTTTGAGGAAATGATCAGTGGATTAATTACTTCTGTGGATCATTTCTTATTTTCATGTGGTGCATTAATCAGTCAGCCTTTTCACTGTTCTCTTTGTTACTGAGCTCAAAGACAGGACTAAGCCAACTCTGTAATAAATGGATCCAAATGGTGGCTTTCACCTTGACCGCTGCTACCTCTAAAGTTGTACAACTCTAAATAAAACACAAAAATGTCAAAGGCAAGTTTTAGGTTGTATTTTGTCCTTTAGGTCAGTGATTCTTAAAGTGGAGAAATGGCACTCTGCCAACGAGGTGGAAGTTTCAAGATGTATTTAAAGGTACTACTAAGCAAAATCCACGGACTCCATGTCTCTTCTACATCAACATGTGTCCCCTCTTCTCATGTCTCTTCTACATCAACATGTGTCCCCTCTTCTTCATGTCTCTTCTACATCAACATGTGTCCCCTCTTCTTCATGTCTCTTCTACATCACCATGTGTCCCCTCTTCTCATGTCTCTTCTACATCAACATGTGTCCCCTCTTCTTCATGTCTCTTCTACATCAACATGTGTCTCTTCTTCATGTCTCTTCTACATCAACATGTGTCCCCTTCTTCATGTCTCTTCTACATCAACATGTGTCCCCTCTTCTTCATGTCTCTTCTACATCAACATGTGTCCCCTCTTCTCCATGTCTCTTCTACATCAACATGTGTCCCCTCTTCTTCATGTCTCTTCTACATCAACATGTGTCCCCTCTTCTTCATGTCTCTTCCATCAACATGTGTCCCCTCTTCTTCATGTCTCTTCTACATCAACATGTGTCCCTCTTCTTCATGTCTCTTCTACATCACCATGTGTCCCCTCTTCTTCATGTCTCTTCTGCATCAACATGTGTCCCCTCTCTTCATGTCTCTTCTACATCAACATGTGTCCCCTCTTCTTCATGTCTTTCTACATCAACATGTGTCCTCTTCTTCATGTCTCTTCTACATCAACATGTGTCCCCTCTTCTTCATGTCTCTTCTACATCACATGTGTCCCCTCTTCTTCATGTCTCTTCTACATCAACATGTGTCACCTCTTCTTCATGTCTCTTCTACATCAACATGTGTCCCCTCTTCTTCATGTCTCTTCTACATCAACATGTGTCACCTCTTCTTCATGTCTCTTCTACATCAACATGTGTCCCCTCTTCTTCATGTCTCTTCTACATCAACATGTGTCCCCTCTGTGGAAAGAGACTCTGAAAGTTTCAGGAACAAAGATTCTCTCTCTTTTTGATCCATTTCTATGAAAACCTGTCTGAAAATGAGCTGATCAGATTTTGGCTACTTTATGATGTCATAACGATGTTTTGGCTTGTGTAACCATTAGCCAATCAGCAACCAAGGTAACCCCCCCCCCCTATCACCTGAATCTCCTCCTAGAGCACCATTGAGTTCTTTGTAACCAAATCTCTCTCAGAGGGGCGTGGGGAGGGGCTCCTGATTCTCATCTAAAGTAACAGACAGAGAATCAGCACTTTTGAAACAGGGCTGAAACAGAGGGGATTATGGGTAATGCTGCAATGATCTGTTTGGTGTTTCAGCCAATCAGAGACAGGCTCTGGATATATCTGAGGACCTGTAAGTAAACAGTATAAGATGAAAGATGTGTAGCAATTCATGAACAATGAAACAGATCAGAATCAGAAATTGGTTTATTGCCAGCTTCACACGTACATAAGGAATTCGACTTGGTGTCACGGTGCACTGCATACATACAAATTTAAAACTAAAATTATTCCAGCCAGATTCATGGCTTGTTGAGTTTTGTAGTTTACTGGAAAACCTCGGATTTCACTGTGAAGTCAGAAAGACAGATGGACACGTCTCCAAATCGCCTGAGGACAAAGGTTAAGGAGCCATAAAGCAGAGATGTGTGTGTGTTTGAAAGTCAACAATGTGACACAATTACTGGACATAAAATACACAGCCTCCACACATTCATGTAAATATATCTAACATGTATGTTCATCTGAATTCATCTCTTATTTCAAAGTTTTTAATCATTTGTATCTTTGATTGTATTAATCTGTGCGGTCCTGTTTTCCCTTCTAACCCTGTTGCTGTTAAACAACTGAATTTCCCCACGGGGATTAATAAAGGTCCATCTTATCTTATTAAACAGTAATAATCATTATTTTGTATCGAGGTATTAATTAAATCGCTGCTGATATTGCCATGTCACATTAATAGAAAAATAAATACACCCCAGCTCTAAAACGAGGCAAAAATACAAATGAAAAAAGCCTGAAAAGTCCCCAGTGAGGCTCGAGCTTCTGCTGACTTGTTAAGTTGTATTTATTCACTATAAACGTGACATGGCAATATTGTGTTTATGTGACAGTCGCCATTAAAGCTGCCACCTTAGACAGAGTTTAAGAGTGTGTGAGAGTCAATCAGCACGACAGATGTACTTAGCCCTGCAGTGGAGACTGACTGAAATACAGTAACGACCCCGTGTTGTACTACACACTTTCAAGAAGGAGATTAAGTTGAAGGCACGGCGCAGACATTCAATACTTGGCTGGAGAAAATCAATGAAGATGCTCTGCTGATGTTTGAAGTACAGAATGTGAATCCATCAGGTGTGTGTGCAGCGTGTCAAATACATACGGACTGCTTCTGCACCGAGAGGAGGAACCAGTTTACTTTCCAGTGACCACAAGAGGATCAACGTCATGATGTCAACATTTTCCTCACAACAACAACAAAAGAGGGATGCAGGAATGAGTTAGCATTTCAGCACTTCTGGTTTCCTCGTCTCACATGCGGCTTTCACACCAGCGCTTTTCCCTTTCTAGCTCCGAGCGGGAGCTTTTCTGGTTCAGCTCCGGTTTCCCTTTTCTGCTCCCGCTCTGTTCCCGCCGCCCAGAGCTGCCGCTGCTGCGTCATGACGTCACCGTTTACGTGCCTGCTTCATAAAATCTAAACCGCGCGGAAATCCCTCACATCGACAACAATGGCCGATTGTATTGAAGCGCTGTTCGCTTTGGTTATCCTCTTACGAAACGAAATGGAAGGCATCGGACGACTTTACAAGGGACGACTTTACTTGGAACTTTACAAACATCACATGCGAAATGCAAGACTTCTTTGTGGTCTTCAGCATCTACGGTACCTGCCCCCGCCTCGACGTAAGAGAGACGTAAGCGACGCCGCCTCTTAGCTCCGAAGCTCTTGCCTCTAGACCGACAATTTTTCGGAGCTGGAAGTTAACCGGATTCCGGAGCTAAGAGGCGGCGCCTCTGCGGTGTGAACAGGAAAAAACGGTACTTTTCAGCTCCAGCTCCGAGCCAGAGCTGAAAACGCGTTGGTGTGAAAGGGGCAACAGTGAAGGTTTTTCAACTACTTTTCGGTTAGCTGCATGAAATTAAGAGATGTTGTTCTATGACATAAAACAGGTCAGTAAATATATACATACAAATACAACAATTTAAAGACATTCCTGTTTGGGCAGGCGTTTGGGTAACCGGTGTGCTTGATTTTATTCTATGTTTTGGTGCTTTTACGACTTCTTAACACGTGGCTTGTGTGGTCATTTATCATTGTATGACTCCTATGATGACGTTTTATTGTTTTGTCAAGCACTTTGTCTGTGAAAAGCGCTTTATAAATAAACTTTACGTACTGCTTCTGCACTGAGAGGAACCAGTTAGGAAGCGGTTTACTTTTCCAGTGACCACAAGAGGAGCAACGTCATGATGTCAACGTTTGTGTCGTGGATTTTCCTCACAATAACAAAAGAGGGGTGCAGGAATGAGTCCTAAAACCCCGGAATGAGTTAGCATTTCAGCACTTCTTGTTTTCTCGTCTCAAAGCGAAGGTTTTTCAACTAGTTTTTGGGTTAGATGCCTGAAATAAGCTGAGGAGATTTTCACATTTTCTTCTACGACATAAAACAGGTCAGTAGAAACCTCACTGATGAAAGTCTGAAGCTTCTGTGTGTCTTAAAAACAGCTGTTTGTTGAGCAACATACAGCCATAGCTTTATAGCGCATTATGGATGATGTTAGCTTATAGCCACCGAATCCAGTCTGACGAATCAATAACTAGATTTAGAGCTAACAAACTAAATAATACAAGTATTAGTAGGTACTTGTTGCTAGGTAATCCACAATGATAGCAAACTGGTTGTAATTCAAAGTATGTGTCACGATTCTCATGTTATGTCACGTTTTTAGTTTTGTATGTCTAGGTTTGGGTTTATTTTGCTGTTCGGTTCTCTGTGGCCCTTTCTCTATATATATATTTATTTTAGTGCTGTCAAAATTATCGCGTTAACGGCGGTAATTATTTTTTAAAATTAATTGCGTTAAAATATTTAACGCATTTAACGCATGTGCAGAATGGCCCGCCCCATACATCCCACCAGTGGCAGCGCCAGGGTATGGCTGGGGTAGGCTACACCCATACCAAGAAATGGCTTAGCCCCACCATGAAAAATGATGTTAAAGTAAGCAAAATAAAGTCCGCCAACTCGCGGAGTAAATTGCACAGACAGCAGCTCGTGAGATTGATTTCAGTAGCCACATGTCTGGAAATACCGAAGACCAGAAACGGTTTTGAAAACTGTTGTCACGTAGTGATCGTCTTCTCAATAGAACATCTTTGATAATGTCTTCTGGCCAATCAGAATCAAGATAACGGCGTGGTGTTGTTGCAGGAAGTCTCGATGGAGAATACTTTTGCTGTAGTACACATAACTGGTACGCAAGTTATGTGCGTAATCTGAAATGCGTACCGACGTACTTGTGAAGCTTTTCCAGAAGGCGGTTAGATCACCGGACGACAGAGTCGGTCTCCGTGCGCACAGACAGGGCTGCTGTTAACGTCGGTCTGTACAACGGAATTGTGCCAAAACTACGCCAACCGGCTGCGGAGGGACAACAATATACATAAAGAAATGGCATATTTTGGACATAGTTCGAATGGTGATTAATCATGATTAATAAATTTTTAAGCTGTGATTAATCTGATTAAAAATTGTAATCATTTGACAGCCCTAATATATATATATATATATATAGTATATATTTACTTTGATTCATTCACAGTGCGGTATAATGAGACAATAACAGGCTACAGATGCGGACACACACACACATATATATTTATATAAATATATACCATTTCAGAATCAAACAGAGCACTCTCATAATAACGTAACACTATCAGAGACTGGATATATCCCCCCCCCCCCCTCTCTGGTCGCTACAATGAGGGAAATAAATTACGGGCCAAAAGTTGTATTTACAAGTATTAAAAGTAAGCAGAGGACACCAAACCAACTGAGACCTGTCTGTCCGCACACACACACACACACACACACACACACACACACACACACACACACACACACACACACACACACACACACACACACACACACACACACACACAGTACAACACACACACACACACACACACACACACACACACACTGTACAACACACACACCTACACACTGTACCACACGCACCTACAGCTCCTAAAGCATAATCGGGCTACAGCCGTTGTGTATTTTATTATGTGAAGCACTAAATGGTTTTAGAAAAATATCGACTCTTTGTAGATATCTACTAAACTACAGCAAATAGAGAGAGTAATGTAGGCCTGTACTCAGTGATATATATGTTACACACTGCTCTGCTTTCTGCACGGACCTCACAGCTGTTCTCTCTGGAAACATCGCGATGCGATGAGAGCAGTTAATAAAATAATATCCAGGGGATGCATGCAGAGCTGTCATTGGCTGAGATAAGTCCGGCCGTGCGTCACGACTCTTTGACACATCTCTGTTCCCGGAAATGCATCCACGAAGGAGCCGTGGAGGACCCATCAGTGTCTCCTCGGTTAGAGCTCCTCCAGAGAGCCTCCTCGACGCTCGATCCTCGAAGTGCATTTAGAGAAATTAGATGTCCTTCAACATGGCGTGCTAAAATTCATTTCCGGGTCACTACCGGAGGACCGAGGAGTCGAGGAGGGGGATTTGATGAAATCAGAAAGGGCCCCTGTCTCCCTTGTGTATTGTCCCTCTCTCTGTGTTTTTCCTCCTGTCGTTAGTTTCCCTGGTGTGTCTAGTTGTCTGATTGTGTTCACCTGTTGCCCTTGTGTTTCTCCTCCCCTGCCCTTGTGTTTCTCGTCTCGTGATTACCCCTCCCTGTATTTAGTCTTGTCTCTTCCTGTGTTCAGTGTTGGTTCGTCTTTTGTTGGCGACTGAGTTCACCGGTGAGTGTTCTGTTTTGTCCGAGTTTTATTCATATCCTTGAAATAAAGGTGTTATCAGTTTATTCTGCATTTGGGTCCTGCCTGCTTCACTCTACCGTAACAGTATGCTGCACAAAAACGTTGACTTTAATTATGTGTATTATGTTAACATATTTCACACAACTCTATTAGGTTAGTTGAAAGCAATAATAGTAAGTTGAGCCTGATATTTTGTATTTAAACCTAATATAATTGCTTTCAACTAACCTAATACAGTTGTCTGTTGACATAATTCATTTAATTAAAGTCAGTGTTTCATTTTTTTCAATGTGAATAATGAACAATTAGACGCCTTATGCTTTGTTAATGTCACACGTCGTTTTTATAAATATTTGTGATGCGTATATTTTTGATCTTGGCACTTCTGCAACTTCCTTCCCTTCCCTAACTGTTGTTGTTCAACTAAAGTCTCTGCTGTATGCAGCTCTTGGTTCTTGGAGCTCGCCAAACTAATATTTTGTGCTGGAGTTGAACCAATTTGGCCGCCGAGAGCGAACACTGCTTCAGTGGAAACATGAAAAACTTGTTTGCAATTGCGCAACCGGCTGGACAAGAGGTAACAGAAATATGTTTGGAGGTTTTTGCAGGGTGTGAGATTGGTGTGATTATATATATACACATTTGACAGATGAAGGATACAGGACCTTGCTGGGCAGATTTGGAGGAGTGTGAAGGGCGAGGGACTTGATCACACTCTTCACTCTCTGCTTCTGCTCCTCTGTGAGCGGAGGCTGCAGGACGCTCCTCAGGGTCTGAGGAGGAACAAGAAGAGGGAGAATAAAGGGATTACAAAATAAAGGAGAGTGGAGAAATGTATATAAAGAGCACAAGGTGTAATGACAAGATTGGCGTTTTTATTCTAACAAACATATTACTATAAGAATCTGAAATTATATTTAAAACATGTCGGATATCTTACCAATACATTTCTCTTGTGTTGTTATGTCACATTTCTAATAATCTTTTTTCTTGTGTTGTATGTTCTCTTGCTTTTTATTATTTTATTTTATTAGTCAATTTATTGAACATGTCAGAAAAAGCCAGGCAGTGTGTGTGTGTGTGCTCAGGCTGAGTTCCTCGGTGTCTCGCTGACCCCACGCAGCAACCAGGAAACGACACCAGTAACCCAGCTCACACTGTCCACTCCTCGAGCCTCAAAGGGCGGAGCAGCGAGCTCCGCAACGTCCCGCCAACACAGCACCCAGACCCCATTCTCATCTGTTTGTCATTACTGGTGTCATTTCCTGGTTGCTAACAAACGCCATGGTAACACATAATCACTGATGTTCCGCTGTAACGGTGGTGGACTCATCAGAACAGAGTGGGCGAGCTGACCAATCAGAGCACAGTGGGCTCATAGGGAGTGGGGGGGGGGCAGGAGCTCCAACAAGGCGTGTAGGACAGAGAGTGAATACACACACTATACAGAGATGCTGTATGAGAAACCAATGAGATTTTGGAACATTGAACAATGCAAATATATTTGAGTAGACCTCAACAATGGAATTATGATCAGTAGAAATGGCCATGGGACCTTTAAGAAATAAATTCTCAAATAGTCTCTGTTACGTTCAACAGGGGCAAGAAGAAGCTTCAAAAACGTTTCTGGTCCTACCCCCTCTAGCGTATTGCTCATAAATGAAGAGTAAAAAATGATTTAAGAAAAATAAATAAAAGCGAAACACTCATAAAGTATATTTGAGTGCCTATAGTTAAAAAACTATTTGATCTGTTAATGATTAAAGATCATAATTTATTCAACTGTTCTTTAACCATGCCTGTAGGTAAAAACGTCTTTTTAAAGAGCATGCAGTAAAGGTTAATGAAGGGAGATGAAAGATATAACCATGTCTGAATCACACGAACAAATCTCAAGGCTTTAAAGCTCGGTTGGATGCTACAAAATCAGATGCTGTTGGTACCTGTACTTGTGGTTAAATATGTAAATTGTAATCCCTGTACATTTTGCTGTATGATGTCCTTTTGTTGTTCTGTTGTTTATGTCTTCTTGTGGAACCTACTGCTGCAGGTCTCCCTTGAAAAAGAGATCATTGATCTCAATGGGATTTTACCTGGATAAATAAAGGTTTTGAATTTGAAGGCCTTTTTTCCCTACATTGTAGATGACATTATATTTTTTTGTTTATCTGTGTTGACACAAGATTTTCCTCGGCATAACTACACTGTAGCTATGTTCGTATGACTAAATAAAGAACCTTGAACATTTCCTAAAACACTATATATTTGAAAGCACGCTCAAAGGGAGACGCACAGCTGTGATTTGCAGAGTGCTCAAATAAGTAAGTGTGACAGGAAGTGCACAAACACAACTATTTATTTCAGCTGTCACAGAAGAATTATAATCATATGAACACAGAACCGTTGTGAGCAGCTGAGTGTTGTTATTAAAGCACATCTCTTGTCGTCTTCTTCATGATTGCTATAATCATCATTTTCTACGCCGCTGGGAGAGGAAATTTTCTGAATCCTTAATTTCCAGAGAGGAATTGTAATGTTTGTATACAAAGGAGTGTTGCACTCAAAGGTAAAGATATATGTGAGGAAGTTTTGAAGGCAAGTGAAGAAAAGGGGCGAAATAAAAGATGTTATGCAGCGTCCACACGGCGGCGTGCGTTGAAACTTGCCGGCGGGCGTGTCTGAAACTCGACCAACAACCAATCACATGAATCTCCCATGCGGACACACAAGCATGCGGTTTGATTGGCTAGAGCTTGTACTGGCATATGATTTGATTGGCTGACGCTTCCGTCGAAGCTTCAAAATTTGAACATTGCTCAACTTTTGAAGCGAGCCACGCGAAGCTACGGAACCACAATGCAGTTCGGCAAAGCGTGACGTCACCCCATTCAAAGTGAATGGGCAGAAGTATTGAAGCTTCAACGCACGCCGCCGTGTGGACGGGCCGTTAGCATCTCAAGGCGCCCCTCAACTAAAAGCCAATGAGATTCTTCCGTTGGATTTTGGAATATTGCAGAAAACAAGCTCTGTGGCGAACACACGTTTATGATACTTACACGTTTTGTTCAGCAGGATAATTTCCACATATTTGGAGGGACTACAAATATATGTAGGAACTACAGCACGGTCACATGACTTTGTGTCACCACCGCTAAGCTAAAGGTGGCTAATGTTCAGCGTGATGACGTTTAGTTGTCTCATTTAGGGTTAATAGTCTCATTTAGACACTCGTTAGCAACCTCCGTTTTAATGACACACAAAAGATTCAGATACTCACCTGTGGGGTATTTTATGTCGTAGAATACAACGTTAAAATCTCTTCAGCTCGTGTTTACCACAGACCTCATCTTATCAAAACACATTAGAAAAACTTTGAATTTAAAAGTGCTGAAATGCTAACTTTTTGGGTTTTTTTTAGAACTAATTTCTGCATTGCTTCTTTAAAACCAATTGTATAATAGTAAATGCAATCGCTAAAAGTAAAAAGCTAACGTTAGACTCTAAAAGAACAACATCACAGTCACATGACTTTACCACCGCTAAGCTAAAGGTACACTCACTTGTTGGCATCCGCTGTTTTTAAGACACATAGAAGCTTCAAGCATTCAGTGAAATTGATGGATCTTCCTATATAAGGGAGCGTTGCACTCAAAGCTAAAGCTGTATATATCTGGAAACATCAAGTGACTCTAGAGCAGGGGTTCCCAACCTCCCCCCCCCCCCCCCCCCCCCCACACACACACACACACAAGGCGCAACGGTAATTAAAGTTTAAAAGTCTCAAAATGCTACAACTACTGTCACAAACTGGATGAATGTGAAGTATTGTGTTAAAGGAGGATGAAAGCGTAATTAAGGAGCACTATTGGAGCGACTTTGATGGTTATTGGACTCAGGATTAATTTATTTGGATTCCCGCTGTATGAAGAAATTAAAGGACGGCGCAAGTGGAAACAATTCACAAAGGCATTAAACTGTTTAAAACACATGCTCAAAGTAAGCCGGATTTTGCCGATGTGTTTATGTTAGCTGGGAAGAGACCAAGGGGTAGACCTAGGACCAGGTGGAGGGATTATATCTCTTCGCTGGCCTGGGAGCGCCTTGGGATCCCCCAGTCAGAGCTGGTTGATGTCGCCAGGGAAAAGAAAGTTTGGGGCTCTCTGCTGGAACTGCTACCCCCACGACCCGACCACGGATAAGCGGAAGAAGATGGATGGATGGATGGATGGTTTATGTGGATTCAAAAGTCGTAAATAATCTACATGGAGGAGACCGATCTGATTGGAGCAACTGCGACAAATAATCCAACTGAAACCGGCATGGACAATGACTATGTTTTAAAAATGTGCTTATCCAGAAAAGCCTGGTTTGGACACTTAACGCGCAGAAGAAACATTTCTATTAAAGAAATAATTATACATTTCTGTCTTTTTATGCCTTTAATACTAACTTGAATTTTTATTAAAACTAATTAATCAATTATTTTTTATATTTTATTGTAATGTAGAGACAAGGCTTTTAGTGACAATCATGTATTGAGTTACAATTATATATATTTATTGAACATGTCAGAAAAAGCCAGGCAGTGTGTGTGTGTGTGCTCAGGCTGAGTTCCTCGGTGTCTCGCTGACCCCACGCAGCACCAGGAAACGACACCAGTAACCCAGCTCACACTGTCCGCTCCTCGAGCGTCAAAGGGCGGAGCAGCGAGCTCCGCAACGTCCCGCCAACACAGCACCCAGACCCCATTCTCATCTGTTTGTCATTACTGGTGTCATTTCCTGGTTGCTAACAAACGCCATGGTAACACATAATCACTGATGTTCCGCTGTAACGGTGGTGGACTAATCAGAACAGAGTGGGCGAGCTGACCAATCAGAGCACAGTGGGCTCACAGGGAGGGGGGGGGGCAGGAGCTCCAACAAGGCGTGTAGGACAGAGAGTGAATACACACACTATACAGAGATGCTGTATGAGAAACCAATGTGAGTTTGGAACATTGAACAATGCAAATATATTTTAGTAGACCTCAACAATGGAATTATGATCAGTAGAAATGGCCATGGGACCTTTAAGAAATAAATTCTCAAATAGTCTGTTACGTTCAACAGGGGCAAGAAGAAGCTTCAAAAACATTTCTGGTCTTACCCCCTCTAGCGTATTGCTCATAAATGAAGAGTACAAAATGATTTAAGAAAAATAAATAAAAGCGAAACACTCATAAAGTATATTTGAGTGCCTATAGTTAAAAAACTATTTGATCTGTTAATGATTAAAGATCATAATTTATTCAACTGTTCTTTAACCATGCCTGTAGGTAAAAACGTCTTTTTAAAGAGCATGCAGTAAAGGTTAATGAAGGGAGATGAAAGATATAACCATGTCTGAATCACACGAACAAATCTCAAGGCTTTAAAGCTCGGTTGGATGCTACAAAATCAGATGCTGTTGGTACCTGTACTTGTGGTTAAATATGTAAATTGTAATCCCTGTACATTTTGCTGTATGATGTCCTTTGTTGTTTCTGTTGTTTATGTCTTCTTGTGGAACCTATGTTAAAAAAAAAAAAAAAAAAAAAGTCTAAATATGATATTTTGCCTCAAATCATCTGAGGCCTGGTTCCCCCCCTGCGATCTTTGGCGCGCCCCCCTCAGGTTGGGAACCACTGCTCTAGAGGATGATATTTTGAAAGAAGGGTAAAGGAAAGGGCAGAATAAGAAACTCCAACACTGTTTAGTAATTGAAAAGAGCGAGAGGGGAAGTAGAGGTGAAT